TACATTATTGTCAAGAAGTGAATGGTGAACGCTTTGAGCACCTCATAAAGTAAGGTTGTGTTTAAGTGTTGCTATTTTTTAATTTTACTGTTGTTAAATTTTGATCATTTTCGTTTCCATACATTACAATAAAAAAGCTGTGTTGCCACATTTCAACAACTGAGTCGAATAGAGGTTTGATATTTAGAGATTTTAGTAATGTTGGGACGCTGAATTAATTACAATAAAAATAAAGAGGGGCATCCATTAAAAAAAAATCAAGTTACATACGGCATCTTAGAAACGGTGAACTTGGCAACATTGCAAATACCCCCATTGAATCGGGCATTCCCAAAAAACCCCAGATAGGGAATATTGTACATTTTGCTAGAGCCTGTTCTGATATACGAGACCGTTTCTATACATTTCAACAAAAAAATCTGTGTTGCCATATTCCAAAAACCAAGTCAAATAGAGGTTTGGCATTCAAGGGTCATAGTAATGTTGGGACGCTGAATTAATTACAATAAAAATAAAAAGGGGCATCCATTGAAAAAAATCAAGTTACATACGGCATCTTGGAAACGGTAAACTTGGCAACTTTGCAAATACCATCAATGAATCGGGTATTCCCAAAAACCCACAGGTAGGTAATATTGCACATTTTGCTAAAGTCTTTTCTGAAATACAAGACTGTTTTTATACATTCAACAAAAAATCTGTGTTGCCATATTTCAAAAACAAAGTCAAATGGAGGTTTGACACTTAGGGGTTTTATTAATGTTGGCACCCTGAATTAATTGCAATAAAAATAAAGAGGGACATCCATTTAAAAAAATCAAGTTACATACGGCATCCTAGAAAGGGTAAACCTGGCAACATTGCAATTACCACCATTGAACCGGGCATTCCCAAAAACCCCAGGTAGTCGATTCTCGAATTTGGTAGAAGTGAACGTTCCTCTAAGAGAATTGAGAGATCACATCGCAGGCTCGTTCTCTTGGTGCCAAAGTTGGTATTCTCGAATGTATGGGATTATGATAGAATGAGAGAAAACTTGTCAAATCATAATGCGTTGTTGCCAACAGTAATATGTAGAATTAGCCACAATTTAAGTGTATTAAAAGGACGAATGTCATGAGAAAGAAGAAAATTAGTTTGTTTTATTCGTTTTATTTGTGTTTTGGGACGTAACCTCATTCTTTGCTTATTTATTTAATGAAAATCGAATCATTAATCATTCTATTTACAATTTTTATTTTCGTGATGTTTTGTTTATGTGGAAAATAAATTTGGAAAAATCAAGATGATCACCTATAAATCATACTCAAAAACAAAAAGTGCTTATTGAATTTCTAAGGCAAAATGAAAAACTTCAAAGTGGAAAATTTACCTCCGATTTTACCACAGTTTTTAATGATGAAGTTCTAGTTGGAGCCCGTATAAAAGGTGTCAATAAATCAATTAAATTTCGAGCAGGATCTTTAATTAATCTTATAGTTTTATAAATTTATTATTCTTTAAATCAAAGGGATTTTCTCTTCTGTAAAATCTCCTTATAGACCGTCAGCCAATGACATATTTTGCTGACCGATTTTCTTTCTTCGGAGATTTCAACCACTGAAAAATATGTCAGTGCTGAGCTCAAAAAATGAAAATTTAGCGGCCGGACGTCTGCTAGGCATATGGAAAATGAATTTTATTTTGCAGATTTTTTTTTTTCAATTTCTCTTTCATGGCATTTTAACACATTAACATTGTATAGAACAATCTAATAGTGAAAAAGCAAAGCCATAAGGTTTGCACGTACTGAAAGGGTTGAAATAAGGGCGCGATCTTGTGAAAAAATATTCGGTGGCTGATCGTTTTCTCGCTTATTGCAATCGACAGGATCAAATTTGATGTCGGTAAGAACCAGAAAAAAAATCCCATAAGCCGGTCAGCTGTTGAGGTATATGTTAAGGCCGCTTCCATGGTTTCCCACGTTTTCGTATTGGACCATATTTTCCACAATATGCAAATTTACCCAATTGGCAATTACTGATAAATGATTTGCAAAAACAAAAAAATACCATGGATGATGACTGTAGAATTGACAAAAAGCGCATGTTTGACGTTTGGTTCTCCAGAGAACAGACGATCTCTCCAAAAAAAGTAGTAGAATAAAATTCTCTCAACTTTCATAGGAAGTGAATGGTCCCTAATTTCGAGAATACATCGTAATATATTTTAATAGAAATCACGCGTACTTTTCCTATGAGAACAGGGATCACACGATTCGAGAATCGCCATCCAGGTAGGAAATATTGGACATTTTTTTCAAGTCTGTTCTGAAATATCATACCGTTTCCATACATAACGACAATCCTGTATAAATGACGACGAAATGAATTGTACCATAACGAGCTTCAAGTCATATTTTTAAATACTTCAAAATACTCTGACAAATATCAAAAATTATTCCTATTCATGAAACTGGGGCATGAAATGGAATAAAGAATTACTGCCCCATAAGTATTATGAGTGCAGTTTCAAAAATATTTGAAATAATTAATTTTGAGCGACTTTTCGACGAGATCTTAAGGGGTCGATTCCCGGCCAGGGAGTAGAGCTCCCCGAGAGAACAAATTTTTTCGTCCTTGTCATTTTCATTTACTTTTCGATTACGTTGACAAGGACAAAACATTTGTTCTATCGGGGAGCTCTACTCCCTTAGACAAGAATTCAGCACCAGGTAATCTTACATCCTGCCAACATGATTTCTTGCCCAAAAAATCTACATTTACCAACTTAACAACCTTTTGCCAATTTGTTCATGAAGCAATCAATTAATAATAAATCCCAGGTGGATGTCATCTACACTGACATGGAGAAGGCTTTCGATAGAGTCAGACATTGTGTGGTATTGGAATCTCTTAAGAGCCTAAATGTGTCCTCATACCTAGTTTATCTGATCCAGTCAGTCATATTTAAATGAGAGATTCAAATTTATCGAAGTTAAGGGTAGCAAATCAGTTTTTTTTTAAACTTCTTCAGGCGTTCCGCAAGGGTCTAATCTGGGACCATTTTTATTTTTGGCAGCCATTACCAGCATAGTTAACAACCTTGAAAATGTACAAGGACTATTGTTCGCAGATGATTTCAAGTGCTTCCTTCGATTCGACTCTGTCGAGGGTTGTGAGACCCTACAGAGCGACTTTTGTAGGGTTGCAAACTGGACGCGGATTCTGTGTTCTGTCGCTTTCTACATGTCGAATTCTAGTGTCAATTTCTACATTCAAAAGAAGGGAAAATCGTGAAGAAAACGGTACACGGAATACGAAATATCGAACGCGACATGTCGCTATAGAATTCGACAGTGCACGGAATCCCCCCCAGGGGTGTGACACTGAAAGTTTCAATTTAAATGTGAGTAAATGCACTTGTATGACATTTAGTCTAAAGCAAGAGATTATTAGGTATAACTATACTCTAAATAATATCAGATTAAACAGAGCGAGTCAGCAAAAAGATCTTGGTGTGATTTTTACCATACCAGATGTTTTAATCTGGAGGTTAGCTTGCATCTTTTTGATAGCCTTGTTTTGCCGATTCTAGAATAATTTGGTACCCTCAGTACAATGTTTGGGTATCACTCATCGAGGGTGTAACAATGAGTACCTTCCTAGGAATCTTAAACAGGATGTCGCTTAGTAGGAGAAGAATAAAGATATTTTTATGCACATTGTTTCGTATACTCAAGGAAAACATAGATTGTCCAGACATTCTGAGCCAATTACCATTTGCCATAAATAGAGTAAGCTCGCGAAGCTGTGATGTTTTCTATCTAGCCTATCCTCGCACAAATCTTTACAAATGCTCGCCTATTTACAGAATGTGCCATTACTTCCAATTTTTATGTTTCTGTAATCGACATTGATGCAACAAGTTTGAGTGAGTTTAAGAAATAAGTTAAAAATAAGCTGAGATCCATCGAATAGTTTTATAATTTGTTAGTTTCAAATTTATCTCCCCTCTAATTAAGTACTTTATAAGCTTCTGTTATTTTTGTGTATGTACCACTGCGATCGGGGAAGGGTGGTGCAACAAAAATTTCCATAATCCCCTGGTCTGTAATGTTGATACATGTTCAATGTTCATTAAATAAATAAATATGACCATTGGCTCCTATGAAGATGAGGTATATTTTTTTAAATTCCTCATATTCGAATTAGTCTAAAATGAAATCAATATTGAAATAATCTGATAACATAGACGTTTTTAGTAATTTTAACTGTTTACAGGGATTAAACCACCCTCCTAAGAGATGAAATTTGAGGTGCTGCGGGTCGAATTACTTAAAATAGTCTGAAAAACAACTCTGACAAGTTTCATGCTTTTAACCCAATTTGCTACATTTTACACCATTTTGATGGTCTACCGCATATAGAGTAAAAATCAAACGAGAAGAAGCCACACACATTGTCGTTTGTCTCACTTTAAATGGGAGGGACCCAGAGAAAAGGAAATCTGCCTTTTTGTCAGCGCTGACGTCAATGGCATCTTCTCGTTTGATTTTTACTCTACTATATTGTTTCCTTTGATAGGAACAAAATTCCTAGATTCCATTTATGACTTGTTTCAATAGTGTTCTTCACAAGCTATCACCAGATTTTCTTCGTATTAATTGACACATGATGTGTGGACAGACTGTTTCTATTAACAAAATGTTGCTTAGCCACAGAAAGAAAACCAATTTGTTGTTTTAGTGTGGACAAACCTTCGAATTAGCTTTTGCACAATTTGTACTGCATTCAAGCTGCTGAAGAAACTGTTGAAGTAAAACAAATTTGAAAATAACTTCTGATAAAAAACTGAACAATAATTTTCTATGCACAATCCTTAGAATTAGTGTTAGTGAAGTGTTAGTAGTAAGTATAAAGAAGAAAAAAAATAACAGTTGATACAAAAAAAAAAACCTTCAAGCACAAAAGACAAAAACATCACTCACAAAAAAAAACTCCATTTCTCACTCAACTCACCTTTCTTTTTCTTCCTCTTTTTCTTAATCATTTCTTTTTCTTCATCAGTTTTCACCTTTTTAGTTTTAGGTTTAATCAGCTTGGGGGGTTTAATCAGCTCCCCAGCCTCGTTGCGAATTTCTCCTGGACTTGTCACAATTTTGCCACACTGTTTTTTAGCTTTTGGTTCTTTCTTAATTTTAGCAACAAAGTCAATCTAAAGCAGAAAAATGAATGTATTAACTTAAACTTATACCAATCAAATCAAATACCTCTTCAGGGAGTCGAATCTTTTTTGGTCTTCCCCGTTTTTTTTTAAATTTTGAAAGTAGCTTCTTGGATTTTTTAACGTTGTAACCGACATCGCAAAAATCGGCATCTTTTGCTTCTATTTCACAAAAAGTGAATAAGTTAGAATTAAAATATAGGTATTTTATTTAAAAAAAAAAACTTACCTATTTCACCAGCTTTAAGCCAAATATCCTCCAAAGCTTCCAATTGTTCTTCATCTGGTGGCATTTCATCTAAAAACGCGTTGTCTTCTTCAATTATTTGTAGTTGCAACTCTGGTGGGAATTCTGAGAAACTACAGAAGAGTTCATTGGTTAAACTCAATAAAATTTAATAGGTATCTAAAACGTACCTGGAATATCCAGCCATCATTTTTCCACGTTTCTTTTTGAAAGGCCCGTCAACGTAACTTTGGGGTAAACTTGGGTTATTTTTATTGCAAAGTATATCTTGAGGTAATGGTAAAGGGGCAGCTACTTTCCTGTCAGGTTCTTCAGGATGTGGACCTACATCTTCACCTTTCAACCATTTATCATACCTGAAAAAAGATTGACTCAATTTCAAGTACACATTTTTTTTATTATCTTACTTTTCTGGCTGGAATCGTTTAACAAATGTGTCCATTGATATTTTCACCATGTCTTTGCTACAGGTACATTGTGTGGCACGTTTTCCATATTCCACCCATCTTTCAGCGGCAAAATTTGTTGATTCGGCACAGTTAAAACCATGATTGAATCCTAAAAAAAAATTTTGTCCATGAGCATTATATTCTGATTAGCAATTTTGTGTCAAACCAAATTTACCATTTAAAGCTTGTTTTGGTAAACTTGGGTTGATTTACCTATAGTAAAAAAAAGCAAATGAAACTGGTCTCAGTTACATTTGAAATTATTAGTCAGATATTTCACATAAAGCAAATACAATTTGGAAAAGGATATTCAAGAGTTTGAAATGTTTCCCTTAGTAGCTTTTTTTTGTTTTGATATGTGCTACAAGCATTGACTGAAAACTGAATTAATTGTAGGAAGAAAAGAAGAGTGCCAACTCTTGTGACATGAAGTATAGAAAAACCTAGCCTTACTAGCATCTTACCTGCATGATATCCATAAGGAAATGTAATCATGATCTCTCCCTGTTCTTGTGTAATCTGCGCAAAAATGCAATGTTAACTATCACTTATTAAAAACACAAAAAAGAAAAATGCATTACCTTATTGTAGGGTATTGAATATTGTCTTAAAATCTGTGGCGAAATAAGTGTCATTTTATGCCTTAAAAATGCCTGGCAAGTTTTATAGGATGACGGAAAAAATCCATTGGCAAGCCTCTCTAACCTTCTTCCATGTTCTGGAGGTATAGCATACCTGAAAAAATGAATCAATAGAATAATTATAAATAATAAAATATAAGTAAATTACAAATTTCAAAAACAGTTTGTGGGTAAACTATTAAAACCTCTTGAGCAAATTTAACCATGGAACTTTTCTAATAACAAACAGTTTTATTTATACTGTATTCCTTTTATACATCCAGTTACACCGAACGAGCTCCTCGAAGTCACTCCAAAACACACAATTCAGATTTTATCATTATTTTTTAATATTAACATTACCGTCATGAGGTAAAAGGGCTTCTTGAACCTCCCGCAAATTTGGTGCATCAGGGGAAAGGGGGATGCACTATGAGCGACCCGAGTGCTTACCGCACTTTTAAAAGGAACGCTCAAGCTTTTGACATTGAGCTGCTCCGGGTAACTCAACGGGTAAAAGGAATACAGTATTACATTGACTGTCCTCTTTGATGAGACAATATTTCAGATCAGATTTTTTTTGTAAAACTATGTACCTAAGTACACAAGCACCCATAAAAGTTATTATGTTCATACAAAAAAAGATAAATGACTTCCTACATGAATATCACCATCCTATTATCAAATAAATTCAACTTGCCATGTTTTTGGTGCTCCAAAATGCAAATAGTTGATTGAATAAAGATCCATATCCTCAGTGTGCCAAGCAAAAGTGGTTTTCCACATGCCAAAGTATAAATAAGCTGTATTAACCCCTTCAATTGAAATACCATAATCCTCATTCACATAGTCCAAAATCGTGCCTAGTCTGTTTATGTTCCATTCCTAAAAAAAAATAACAGCCATAATAAAGGAACTATGAGATATCAAAAAAACTTACATTGACCTCTTCATCAGTTAAACTCCCAGAGACATCTGCTCCATAGATTGGTGCGACATAAGTGATATTTTTCCAGTATTTCCTTTCCAGATCTTCATAGTCAAAGTGTTTAGGGGTGGCATAACGTTCTGAATTGGCCAGTTCGGCATATTGTTGAATACTCATGGATTTTTTCTACAATAGAAAATTACGATAAAGAGGTTTACAGGAGAATGGTATGATAGATATACCTGGATATTTATTTGTTGATAGAGTCCTTGTTTGCCTGTGACCACTTGGCAAATAGGAGATGGAATGGTGACATCTAAATCGTCTATGTTGTAGCCGCTTTTTCTTGGTACCCATTCTGGTGGTGGAATAACCTATAATTGAAAATGTTTGCATTAGTCCAGGGCAAATCTACAACCTAAAATGAAACTTTGACACCCTGTATCTCGAAAACTAAGTATTTGCGAACCTATGTTTCTATTAACATGGTCTTAATATTTTCCATTCATTTTAATTGCTTTATTGGAAAAAATATGAAAAAACTGTTGAGTTCACCTCTAGTTGACGTCATATTAACTAATTAATATAAAAACAGTTAATCAGTCTGTTTTTTTTTACATTTTGTTTGGTTTTATAACCTATCATGGCTACATGTACACAATGTGAAGTAAGTATTTCCAAAGAAAATGATGGAAGTTTAAGTGTTAAATGCAACATCTGCTCCCTTGATTACTGTAGAAGTTGTTTTCTCTCGAGTACATCTGAAGCTAGAGTGATACCATTGAAAAAACGTGTTCTTATAATCTGCTGCCCCAGTTGCCGCTCAGTTGTGAAACAGCAGAATAAATAGTGAGCGTAATCATCATTTGGAGGAAGAGATTCAGCTTCTCAAAACCACAATTGCAGATAAAAAAAGTAATTATTTCTGATGAAATGCAAATCATAAATTTCCTTGAAAATGGAGAACAAAACGACTCAGGGTCTAAAACAAAGAAAGATAAATTGTTGGTAAACACAAATAACACCAATGGGAATCCTTAAACTGATCAAATCACACTTTCACAGGTAAATAAAGCAGTTGACTCGGCTTTACAACCCAGTACAACTTCTGACATTTCATTAAACCAGAATAATCGAATTGATAGTCTGAACTGATTCCCAAGATAATATGCAATTTACTGGTGTACCCAAGAAAAAATGGCTCCAAGTTGGCCAAGTCAAGAATACTATAAATAAACACATATAAATCAGTCGCTGACTATATTTAAGCAAAAGTCAATATTAATAACAACGATGAGTTTGTAGTCACTCAACCTGCTGTTGTTGGAGTCGACACGAAATATTGTAGAAAACTGGAATCTGAGAACTTTTGGCCTGGTGAGCGGGGACTTCAACTTCAGGGTAAGCCGAGGAAATCATTTCAATAGACGTCATCAGAGATGGCACAATGGAAGAGGAAGAGACAATAATTTACAGTCAAACTTTTAGATGAATCAGAGGTACAGGAAAAGGTAATAGGTAGTAATGGGAGAGTTACATAATAATGTGGCCTTAAACCAATATGATATTATTTTATTTACTGAAACATCACTTAACTCAGATATTTTAGATAGTGAACTAGGATTAGATAACCACAACATCTATAGAAAAGACAGAAATAGTGAAATAACTGGAAAGCAGAGAAATGGAGGTGTCCTTCTAGCAGTGAAAAATGGTTTTAGATCTGAGCAGTTGAGTATCTCACAGGATGACTCCGAAGAAATTTGGGTATTAGTAACTGTTACCAAACACATAAGAAAGGTATTTTGTTGTGTATATATTCCGCCCTCATCAAGTAAAGACGTATATGAAAAGCATTGTGAATCAGTGGAGAGAGCAGCTCACCAATATAGCGAGCATAGTTTATGTATTGCTGGAAACTATAATCTTCCTAATTTAAAATGCTTTAATGATTCAATGGGAGTCTTGATTGATGGACATTGTCCAGCCGCAGAAAGTTTGACTAAAACTTTTCCTTATTTGAACCTTTTTCAACTGAACAACATACCAAATTACAGAGGTGTTTTCTTAGATTTAGTTTTTTGTGATAAAGAGAGTGATAAGGTCTTTTGTGCTAGTGAAAATTTAATAAAATGTGATAGGTATCATCCGCCCTGGTGATTGACATTGAATGTAATGGTAGTTTTAATGGCATAGAATATGAAAATGAGATTCACAATTTCAAACAATGTAATTTTGGTAATATTGGTCACATATTACTTAATATTAACTGGGATTCAATTTTTGATAACTGAGGTATCAGGGTTGCAGATTTTTTTGATTTAAATCAGATTTTTTCGATTTAAATAAAAAACGCTTTATTTAGATCTATTTGAGATTCTATTTTAGATTTTATTTATCATACAACAACACCCTAAACTAAACACAAAATTATGTTGTCTTTCTTCCTGCTAGACATCCTTCCTTTTTATTAATTAACGACAGACGATGATTAGAGGGATTCCCAGGAAGATCCAATCAAATAGCATTTTCGTATAATTAAACTGGTGCAGCAACCGAGTGTATGTCCATCCTTTTTAGGGACAAAAGAAAGATAAAGGTATGATGCGGCCTGTGCTAAGAATGCCACTGGCTGTTAACAGCTGATTACCACATGTTCGCTGCTCACCCAAGGTCCGGCGGTGTTACGTAGCTGGATTTATAGTGTCAGTATCAGTAACAGTAGCAGTAACAGTAAAATATTAAAACACGCCCGACCGTAAAGCCATTTAAAATTCACTTAACAACAAACTTATCAGTAAAACTTAAAAAATGGTTATTTTCATATCTGTTCTTAAGTTTTAAGTTACTGTTACTGATACTGACTATAAATCCAGCTTAGTGTTAGTTGTGTAGATATAGATAAATTTAATTTATCCCATTTGTCAGTAGCGTAGATAAATTCAATTAGTTGCATTTTGATTTAATAAGGATTTTTTAGCAACTAACCGTTTGTAACCGTGTTATAAACGGAAGCTGAAATCAGGCCTTTTCAGAATCGCTGGTTTTATTAACCGGATCACCAGCTGATGTACTATGTCTTTTTTCAATCATGTTCATTAAAGAAAGACAAAAAACAAACAGCTGGTGATCCGAAAAGGCCTAATTTCAGTTACTCGCTAAAAAATCCTTAATGTTTACTGATATTTTTTATAAATCACCAAATTACAAAAACGCGATTTAAATCATGCGATTAAAATATAATAATAATTTGATTAAAATCGCGATTTTAATCACTGATTTAAATCAGGTGATTTAAATCAATGCAACCCTGTGAGGTATAGAAAGTAATGTTGAAATGTTATGTGAGATTCTGTTTGGTATAATTGACCATCTTGTTCCTAAAATAAAAATTAGTAAGTAATCATTATAAATTTCCACCATGGTTTGACACTGAATTGGAAACAAGTATTTTCGAAGAAATTTAAAATTTAATAGTCATTTTTGCGAGCATTTTTGTCACATGAAAAATAAATCCGTCAAGGCTCTGGGTTTCTTGATTAGAAATACAAAGGAATTAGGTATTTCCACAATAATCAGGTTGTATAATGCATTGGTGAGGCCACATTTAGAATATGCGTCACAAATTTGGATGCCATTGGAGGCCACACATATGAATTGTATTGAAAAGGTTCAAAAAAGGTTCTTGCGTTCTTGCGTTACCTTTATGTTTTAAAAAACAACACATATCCCTTAAGAGTTTCGTATAAATCTATGTTGGATACGCGCACCTATACGCGCGCGCATCGCGAAGCAATTTATGTTTACGAAATTTAGTCAGGAAATTAGTGATATTTTTTAGTATTTTCAAATCGAATAGATTAAAAACATAATTAAAAATAAATTCTGTACAAAAAATAAAGTGAAAACAGTGATTAAATCATAATTTAAATCAGGGATTTCAGAAATAAATAAAGATTTAAAATATAACCTCCAAAAATGGCGATCAGCTGTTGCAAGTACAAAACAAACTGTGTGATGAAGGAATCAAAAACCGATGTATTTGGATATCCCTGTGATTGTTGCAGAAGAGTTTATTGTAAAAACTGTGCTAATATTAGTGCTACAGAAATAAGGGCACTAATAATGTCCTCAAGAGTAGTACTCTTCTTCTGCGAAGACTGCAAAAATTCCATTAAGCAGGTGCCAACACTGAAGGATGATATACAGGAAATCAAGAAGGACATTGGGGAGTTGAAGAATGCCATAAAACCTGGAGGCATTACCTATGCAGATGTGGTTAAAACCTTTGAAAAAGAAAAACATTCACTAAAAGAAGAGTTCAAAGAACTGGAAAATAGGTTGAAGGAAAACGCTAGAAAGCAAATACCAGATTTGCCCTCATTAGATGCTATCAAGGCGGACATTAGAAATCTGGAAAGCAAAGTCATTACCAAGGAAACTGCGAAAAATTTAAATTTTGAACAAGGACTGTACGAGCTGCAGGAAAGAGAGGCAAGGGCACAAAACGTCCTCGTCTTTGGTCTACCGGAAATTCAAGAATTCACTAATAGAGAAGATAGAATGGAAAAAGATGAAAGCGGTGTATATAATGTTCTAAAAGAGATAAATCCAAGCATCAACTACCTGAAATAAATAGAGTCTATATCAAGCGAGACCAAACAGAAGCACAGAGAAAATATATGAAAGAATTAATTCAGGAATTAGAAGAAAGGACAAACAAAGGAGAACAATACCTGAAAATAAAGTATGTTCATGGAATGCCCAAGATCGTCACCTTGAGGACTCAATCATTGTCAAAAAACTAAGTACCATAGCTGCTGAATCTGTGGTCGAAGTCACCTACTGGTATTCAAACCTGCGTTCTTTTAAAAATAAGATTGACGAGTGGAGAACAAGTATTCAGAAAACCGACTCTACTTTCATTTGTATCACAGAAACTTGGCTTAATGCAGAAATATCAGACAGCCTTATAGCTCTGCCAGGATATCGGACCATTCATAAAGATAGAAAGGATAAAGAAGGTGGAGGTTTACTTATATACATAAAGGAAATAGAAAATAATATTCGAATCCGTTCATCAAATGAGAACAAATATGATACTTGTGCTCTTGTAGAATCATTATCGGTTAATTTATTTATTTCCAAGAGTACAATTTATTTAGTAGCATGTATGATAAGTGTAA